TACTTATTAGCTGTGGCGTAGAGGTTAAAGCTGCGGTAGAATGGTGCTATTTGTCAGGGTCGTGGGTTACTCACTCCCTTGTTGTAGTGGAGGTCTGTGGGGAAATAGGCGGAGGGGATAGGGTCACGGTATGTTGTCGTTGGCAGGGCTTTGCTTTAAGCTAAAGCGAGGAAGGAACATACAAGTTGCAGTCACTTGTCACAGATGGTGGGAAATTAGTGTGACGTCAAATACTGTGGTGGAGAAGCTCTAATACTATTAATAGTAACTTTTTCTGAATGGAATCGGGCAAAAAGCTGGAATAAAAACTATTTGTGGTCCAAATATCTTTTCTTTGCTGAAAAAGCTATTGTTTGCCGGATAAAAACCTATTCATCCGGAAGTTCGAATAGTCTTAAAAATAGGTTACTCAGCTTTTAGCTCTACCGGTACGCGGTGCACGCATGATATGGCAACGCCACTCCACATGTCAGTTGGCCAAAATCATAAAGTAGCGTTATACCAAGAATTAGTTTGCCACGTCCATTCTTTCGTTTTATCAACTGCTTGAGCCAGGTTGGCAGCGCAACAAGAAGCTCCTACTCGCACGATTCATACTTGCCCGATCTTGAATCATTTGATGAAATCGAGGTAGCTGCGATCAACTCCCGTCCCGTTAATTTCAGGCGAATAGGTTTAATGTCCCCGAGGGAACTGTCGCTTGTGCGAGCCTGGTCCTCCACGCCGAATATCCCACTTTACAACGATATTAAGAGATGGGCAAAACATAATCTGCACTAATCAGAAACGATCCTGAACTTGAGTGAAGTCTGCGTGTCGATCGCCAGTTTTGACCGCATATATTCTATTTGAGCGGCCAGTCGGAGTAACGTTAAGATAATCCTCGGCTGACTACCGTTATCCAAGCAGCAGTGGCAATGCATCAAGTACTGGATACGAACATTGTAGCGATGTGACAGGTGGGTTAACGGCTTGCCACCACCTTGCCCGCACCCAGCTCCTAAGTACCTGGCTCATGACGCACCCTAGCTAATGCTTGCCTGCGAATGTGTCTCAAGGGCAAGTATAGCTTAGAATCGCTAGCCTAGTGAAGTTCCCCAATGTCTCAACCGCACCCGCATCCATTGTATACAAAAGTGCATATTAGTGTAGAAGTAGTGAAGTAGATTAAGAAGATTTCATAGTGATGAGGATTAAGGAGATCTTTGTAGATCTTCAGTTAATTCATTGTGCATTTTGCCCTCAACTACACACGCTTCCTCCCGCAGTGCTACAATTGGTAGCACTTCCTGGTTACCTCGCCCAAGCCCCGTTCAACTGCTGTAGCTGTACGTAGCCAGTGATCTTAGACGGTTGTTGTGGTCGTTTGCAGAGTCTACACATCGCCAAAGGTTTTGGGAAAACGTGGTCTTTGCTACCCGTTACCTGATGCATTGCCATGATGGTGGTAAATTTCCGTGGCCTTGCCGCAGCCTGGTACCAAGAACGGCTTTCGCGCGGTGAGTCTCCGAACACCCTAATCGAACTGGAAGAAGAGCTGCGAGCCGAGTTTGAACCCGACGATTTGCAAGATCGGCTGCGTGATCAGCTTTACGAATTGAAGCAAGCCCACTGTGCGAGCTTGACCGAGTATGTTGCCAAGTTCCGACGAATCTGTACGCAAGTGTGCGACATGACCGAGCGCGACAAGGTGTCCTGGTTCCAACGTGGTCTGCGAACGAGAACTCGTGAGGAGTTGCAGTATCGTCGTTGTGAGACTGTGACTCTCGCGATCCAAGTTGCCCTGGACTATGAACGCTCCCACAACTCGACCCTTAATGGTGGTCACGCCAGAGACCGCGACCGCTTTCATCGCCACGATAGCCGCCC